ACGTCAAGTGCCGAGTGGACATCAAGCCGGACGAGGCGGTGCTGGTGCACGCGGCGCGCAGCCTGCGGGCAGCCCAGAACAGGCAGGAACCGCCGCGCTGGCCCCGTGTGCCCGGGGCTTCCCGCAGCCTGGCAGTGCCGGGGAGCAGGCAGGCGTCTGCCTCCCGCACACCCACCCCCAGCGATTCCTACAGCGGGGACCCCCCGCTCCTGCCCTACCCCGGCGAGTACTATGAGGCAGACCCCCGGGCGCTGGCATACCAGACGGTGCCGGTGCCGGCCTCACGGGAGTTCAGGGAGTACCCGGAGAGGGGCTGCATGACCTTCTCGGCCGCCAGCGTCCCTGCCAAGTTCTTCTACGCAGAGGAGCCGGCGCGCTGCCCCAGCCCCGCCATGCCCCTCCGCAGCTCCGGCTACGCCAGCTACCCCTACCCTGGCCGCCACACCATCCCCCAGCACTTTTACACTGAGGACCCGACCAAAGCCGCTATCCACACGGTGCCACCCCGGACGTTGTACGTGGAGGAGGCGCGGGGCTACCCGGTACAGGAGGCGCCTGCCCGTGCCTTCTATGGGGATGAGCCCCGCTTTTATGCCCCCCGCGGCACCCCTGTCAAAACCCTCTACACCGAGGATGCCCGGACGTACCCGGCCCTTGGCTCCTCTGCGCGGGTCTTCTATGCTGAGGACTATGGGAAGTACCGGGAGCGGGAGGTGCTGTCGCGGACGTGCCCCCCACCTCGCAGCACCCAACCCTTGCACTTCAGTGACTGGTACTGCCCTGAGCGGGGCACACTGCCCTACCAGACCTTGCAAGTGTCACGCTTTACCCCACAGCCAGCCGGGCGCGAGGCCATGTTCTCCTCCTGGCACGCCAGCTATGGCGTCACCCCTCCACGACTGGGCCGGGAGAGCCAGCACTACTCCAAATCCTGGGATAACATCCTGGCGCCAGCGGCGCGCAGGGAGGAGGTCCTGCAGCGCGGACGCAGCTATGAGAACCTGCTCGCCCAGGAGCAGCACCGTGCCTTATCCCCTGAGGAGCGCCGGCAGCCGGTGGTGATCAACCTGTCAAGCTCGCCCAAGCGCTACGCTGCCTTGTCCCTCTCAGAGAGCTCCATCCTCGAGAGGGTGCATGCTGACGGTGGCCGTGGCCCCCCAGGCCGCTCCTGGTATGTCACACCGGAGATCACCATCACCGACAATGACATCCGCGCTGATGGGCTGGGCAGGAGTGAGAGGCGCTCGGCCAGCTGGGATGTGCTGGATGGGGGGCGGGAGCGCGGCCCCTACACCGTGCCCTGTGCCCCACAGCCCGTCCCCAGGGAGAGCAGCTCGGGGCGCCAGCGCAGCCTGGAGCAGCTGGACGAGCTCATCACAGACCTTGTCATCGACTACAAGCCGGCACCAGGCCACCGTGCCGGGGACAGGGACAGTCTCGCTGAGCAGCTCAAGCAGCTTCTGAGCAGCAGCACCACAGGGGCCCCCCGACAGGGCGAGGGCAGGAAGGTCCCTCCCAGCGTGCCTGAGGGACCCCGACCCACAAAGGAGCAGCCAGGTCCCAGCTCCCGTGACAGTGCCCCGCGCCCCCCACCCACCTCACTGTCCGTTGGCCCCTTCGAGAAGTCTCCGGAGAACTGCTCACCTGACCTGAGCGCGGAGGAGGACGACATGATGATGTGCTCCAACGCCAAGTGCCGGCGGACAGAGACCATGTTCAACGCCTGCCTCTACTTCAAGTCGTGCCACAGCTGCTACACCTACTACTGCTCCCGGCACTGCCGCCGTGAGGACTGGGACACGCACAAGGAGAGCTGCGTCTATGGGCGCGTGGGCAGCATCTGCCGCCACGTCCTGCAGTTCTGCCGGGAGAACACCGAGGTGCACAAGGCCTTCTCACGCATCGCCAAGGTGGGCTACCTCTCCCGTGGCCGTGGCGTCCTCTTTCTGGGCTTCCCCAATGCCGGCTCAGCTGAGAACTTCCTCCAGTTCGGGCTGGAGAGCCTGCTGATGTCCCCCACCTACCTGTCCCTGCGGGAGCTGGAGAGCTACTCGGACAACCTGGGGGAGTATGCCCGGGAGCTGCGGGAGACGGGCAACCAGTATGACCCCGATGAATGTTTCCTCCTGAATGTAACTGTGGCCGTCACTCAAAAAGTGCCGGAGAGGCCATCGCCAAAGATGCAGGTGCCGACGGTCAGGAAATATGCCAAGGTGGCCTTAGCCTCCTCCAGCCCTGAGAAGAAGATCCTGAAGAAGGAGCGGGACATGGAGACACTGATCCTGACGCCTCCACCCGGCACAGCGGACATCGACAAGGAGGGGGAAGAGGGCCGCAAGGCGCGGGAGGTCTGCTTCATCAACATCCAGCGGGAGCTGCGCATCCGTGGCGTCTTCCTGCGGCACGAGTTCCCCGCCGTCTACGAGCAGCTCTGCGACTTCGTGGAGAGCAACAAGCGCTTCACCCCCACCACCATCTACCCCATCGACAAGAGGACAGGCAAACAGTTCATGTGCATGATCATGGCAGCCTCCGAGCCCCGCACCCTCGACTGGGTGGCCAGCCCCAACCTCCTGGATGACATCATGTGAACGTGGGGTGTGGACCCCCCCAGCACCCCCTGGGTCACCCCCCTTTGTAGATAGGTGTTGCCCTGTCAGCACGGTGGGACGGGGACCCCCTCTCCGATGCAGCCCCAGGGGAGGCAGCTGCGGTGGGCTGCCAGTGCTCAGCCTTGGCTGAGGGAGCTGCAGCCAGAGCCACGGTGGGGCCGGGCTGGGGGGGCCACGGGCCGAGGTTTCCTGTGGGGTGCAGGTCCCAGCCAACGTCCTGGCAAGGCCCCAGAGAGCCCTCTTGGGGCAAGCGGTGCTTGGCCTGAGTGGGGGCACCCCAGGCACCCTCCCCAGCCTCTGCCCACCAGCCAGCCCGACTGCCTGCACACCCAGACCCCCCCGCCGTGCCTGCCCACACCCCGTGCCTGTGCCCAGAGCCCTGCCTGGCCTCCCCAGTGCCCCCAGTACCCGGGGTCCCGCAGAGCCCCAAGGCACTGCAGGGGCTGTGCCCGGGCTGGGGGTGCCTGTACGGTCTGCGGGTGGGAGCAGGGCGCCACAAGGTCTCTGTGTCCGAGCATGTTACTGTCCGAGGTCCAGTGGGACCCTGTAAAGGCGGCTGAGGCACCCTCGGGTGCCCCCCGGGACCCCTTAAAGTCTCTGGGTACAGGGTCCCTGCATGCGGGGTGGGGTTGGGTGGTCCCTGGATGTTGACACGGGCGCGGGGCCGTGTCCAGTGCTGGGGGCCGAGCCAGGCCCGGCCCAAGGGAGGGTGGTGGGCAGCCCCGGTGCCCCCGGGGCGCACGCCCACCTCCCTTCCAC